CTAGAGCCCACATTTTAACCACTGAGCTTTATGATGAAGGGAAAACAAAGACTTTCACCAGCCACCAACCTCCAGCCTGGGGGGGGGGGAGGGGTGAACGGCTCCTAGAATCCCTCCCCCCACCGTTGTTCCAGCCTCATCTTTGTTGCCAACCGTATCCCTGCTGAGCAGGACCAGGATGCTGATGCTGACAATGACCCTGGCCTTGGGGCCATCCCCGGATTCTTCCCTTGAAGTCCTCCTTTAAGCCCTGGAGGAACAGGAGTGCCTGCTGGGCGCAGAGCCCGCTGTGGGTGTTGGAGGCTGGGCTGGGCTCCGGGCAGAAGCCCTGCTCTGTGCCCTTGGGCGGGTTACTTGGTCTCACCGAAGAGTTTGCTCACCTACGGAACAGGGAGAAAGGACTCGCTCTTCCCTGGTGGTTGTGGATCTTAAGTGGGGAAACACGGGTGCCATCCAGCTGCTCAGTAAAGGCTGTTTGCGGGGAGGGGCCGCTGTGCCTCCCGTGGAGGCCCAGGAGGGGCTTAGTTTGGGTTCCCGGGATTTCAGGGGCGGAAGGGAAGGCTCTGTGCCCCCTGGAGTGAGTGCGGGCTGAGGGAAATCCCTGCAGCCACCAGCCCTCTGTCTTGCAGAGTTCTAGTGATTCTCTAGCAAGGACGGCCTGGGTGCCTGCTCGGGAGAAGGGGGGACAGGAGAGGTGGGACGTCTTGCTCGGGGATCAAGTAGAAGCTGGAGCCCAGACCAGACAGCTCAGCAGCCTCGGGGGCAGTCACTGGCCAGCCTGCCCAGGCCGGGTCTTCGCACTTCTCTGCAGGGTGCTGTGGGCGATCAGCGCCCCGCGGGTGTCCGGCTGGGCCGGCTCCAGAGCTGCTCCGAGTCAGCCACGGGCCCAGCAGCTGCACAGAGGCTACCGCCCCGTGGCCATGCCTTGGAGCCACCGGTGCTCACCTCACCGCCGCCTGCCCACACGCCTGAGGCCAATGGTTGGGTTCCAGATTGGCCGCGTCTGTAGCCAAGACCAAGCAGGTCCGACGCCCGCCAAGCCGTGGAGTTGACACGCTCCCAAAGAACGAGCTGAGGCCTGACCTCCCCCTGGGGCGAGAGGATGCGCTGGGGCTTGCTGGTCTGGCGGGCGACCCAGGAGCCCAGCGCCTCACCCGGGCCGCCCCTTCCCGCCCCTCTGATATGGCCAAACTTCGGCCTTGCTCCCCAGGGGCTGGGTGCCCCGGCAGCCGGTACCCGGAGGCCTAAGATGGCCCCGGTGAGAATGAGGCCGGAGTAGGGAGCACAAAGTCTGGGCACCTTCCAGGGTCGGGCAGGCTCCCGGTGTTGGGGAGCAGGCTGGAGGTCCTTGGTGGGGAAAGGAAGTCGAAGGTGTGTGCCCAAGTCACCAAAATGAGTGCAGAACCAGAGAGGAGACCCCGGGGTCCAGGAGACAGGTGCCCCAGGTGGGCCAGCGCCTGCATTTCCGCCTACAAAGAAACTGGGCTCCTTCCGAGAACCAGGGGGTGGCGGGAGGCTGCTGAGAGCATCGCCGACAATTTCCTTCCTAAAAATGCGATCTGAGAGCTTTTGATTTCCACTTTCACTTCCCCCTGCCCCTGCCCCAACACACGCACTGTCTCCAAAGACACTCAAATTGCAGCCATATGGGGCTGAAGTCCTAGGAAGCAGTTACCTTATTTACTGCAGAGGCGGCGCACGCGAACCTGGCAGCCCGGCCCCGGCCCCAGCGGCCGGAAGAGGGGCGGCGGTTCTCATTCTTAGAAACTTTGTTTTCACTCCCAGGAGGTGCACGTGGGACCGTCCAAGGTCTAACTTTGAAGGAGGACGGCGGGTGTGCGGGAAAGAGAAGGGAGGTGTGGAGAACTGAGCGAAGGAGGAAAAGAGGCTCCATTAAGAAAGGTGGGGAGTCGGGCTCCGCGGGAGCGCCGGCTCCGCACGCCCCACGCTGGCGCCCTCTCCTGGCACAGACAGGCGCCCTTCCGCGCCCCCGGGGAGGCCCGCGCTGCGGTGCTCTGTCTGCAGATCCATTTCTCAGATGCTATGTCTCAGTCGCTAAGCTGTTAGGGAGTCCAGGCCACCCCGGGGCCTGTGTGCAGTCTCTGCAGCCCGGCTCTCCCGAGGACAGCTGGTGGGGGGGGGGGGGTAGACGTCCCGCCCCCGGTCAGGGGTTGCTTTCCCGGAAGGACTGGGTTTGCTGCGACGAGGACCGGCCTGGTCTGGTCGCTCCCGGATTATTCTACACCCTGGGTCCTTCTGGATCGAGTTCCGCCCCGGCAAAGGGCTCTGCAGGAATCCCCGACGTCTGCAAACGGAGACACCGCACACGCGATGATTTTGTGCAGAACAAGCGTGTTCGCCCCCAGACAGGAAGACAGGCGGGAAGGGGCGGCGGGGCAGCGGGGAAAAGGACTACAGACCGACCCCGCCAGGGGAGGGAGCCCCGCGAGGCTGCGCCAGGGTGTTCCTTTCCCCACAGAAGCTTCCACGGCTCTTAGGCGAAGGAGCGAGGGAGAGGGAGGGAAGGAGCAAGGGAGGGAGGAGAGAGGTAGGAAGGAAGGAAGGAAGGAAGGAGTCGGGAAGGAGGGAGAGAAAAACGGAAAGAAGACAAACGCGGGGAGGGAGCCGGGGCGCTAACTTTCTCAGCGTGAAACTGAAACCGGTGCGCGCCGGGTGGCGGAGGCACGCGCACGCCCTCCCGGGGGACCGGGCTCCAGAAACCCGTCTGCGGGGAGGCCGCGGCTCTGGGCGGCGCAGGCCCGGGGGCTGGGGGAGGGCGGGAGGCGAGGCGGGTCTGGTCCTCAGCCGGGTCGGGTGGCGCCCTCCCTCCAGCCTCCGAGGGGCCCGGGAGGCAGCCCGAGGAGCCGGGCCGCGGCGGGCGGAGGACTCGGGAGGGGCGAGCGGCGAGCGCAGACACTCGGCCGGGGCGGAGGGTGGGCTTTCTCTGGGCGGGGAAACCAGACACTTAGAGGCGGCTGAGACCGACTTTATTTTTACTGCCCGAACTGTTGGAAAGTATTTAAGCTTAAACAGAAACAGCTGTATCGCTGGCACCGGCCAACGAAACTATTTGTTACCGGGAATGACTTTTTATGATGAAGGACACGGCCGTCGGCGGCCTCTTGCGGGCGCCCCGCGCGAGTCGCCAGGGCGGTCTGGGCGCCGCCAGCTCGCTGTTCCTTCGGACCGAGTGGCCCGAGGGATGAGACTGCGGACCCATCGCCCACCTTGGAAAGTTCGGGAACAAGGCCAAGACCTGAAACCCCGCGTTGGCAGGGGTGGGGGCGGGGAGGGCGAGGGTAGGTGGGCTCGGAGCCGGGTGGTCCCCCGGGACCAGGGCCGCGCTGCGCCCGCCGCCCGCGCGCACCCAGCGTTGGACGGGCGGCCGGTTTTCCGCTCGGGGCTTCCTGCTCCTGGGAGTCAGGCTTCTTGGCTCGCTTTTGCGCGCTCTCTCTGTCTCTCTCTCTCCCACCCCATCGCTCTCCAAAGGAAACAGCCTTCACTCAAGTTTATCGTCGATGTTGTAACTAAATCGTGGGCTCCCGGGAGTGAGTGCTGTGCCTGCAGTCGGGGCGGTGAGAGAAAGGGTCGGGGAGAGCTGGGCCCAGACTTGGGCCGCTGTGCCCGCCGCCGCCCCCGCCATGGTCACCGCAGGCTGAGCCAGCGCTCGTGTGCACACGCGAGCCGCCCGCGGCCCGGCCCGGGCCCCCCAGCCGGGACCCCGCCATCTTCGCCCCAGAGCCCCTCTCATTTCCCTCGCACGGGACCCCGCCACGCGCCGCGCCGCCTTTCCTCGCCGAGTGAATGTCGCGCACGTCGGGAAGAGCCGTGGACAGGAAGTGCGTGACTCGGCCCCCGCAGGTCGCCCGGGTCCAGGGCACCGGGACGCACCCCCAGCCCCACGCTCCAATCCTAGCCAAGCCCTGGGCTCTGCCTCGGTGGTCGACGCCCTCTCCCAACACATCCAGGCTCGGGGCCGGGGCGGCTGGGCTGAGGCTGGCGACACTAGGACCGGAGGCTGGCGGGCACGAGCAGCGCGGGCTGGCGGCAGGGGCAGGTGGCTGCGGGCGTGGGGACGGGTCGGGACGCGGGGAGAAGGCGCGCGACATCCCTCCGCGGGGTCCCGGGGCGCGGGGAGGCTCGGGCTGGAAGAGTGGGTCCCTCCTGGGTCTACATTCGGCTTCCGAGCTGGGGGCGAGCTCTCGAGGCCAGCCCGGCTCGCAGGGCCCGGAGGGTGGCCGAGGGCAGGGCTGCGCGACAGGAGACGGAGACACAGGCACATTGATTTGTTAGCAGGATGGGGCTGGCGGCGGCGGGGGAGGCCGTTGCTATGGAGACCGAAGGTCGGGTGTGCGCTCACGGGGAGGGGCGGGGAGGGAAGCGGGCGAGGGGCGCGTCGCCGGCTCCCGGGGTCCGGGCGCGGCCCAGGGCGCCCCAGCACCTGTGCATTGTGCATTGTGCGGCGCGAGCGACGGGGGGAGGGGAGGGCGCGAGCCTGGGCAGTGGGGGTGGGGCGGGGCGGGGGTCTGCCGAGGGGGCGGGGCCTAGCTGACACGGCCGCGGGGGTCCCAGCGAGAGCTGTGGGGAACCCGGCGTGTCGGAGGGACCTCTTAGCGGAGGGGGAAGGGGCCCAGGCGAAGACACAGGGCGGACGGCCCCTCTAGCCAGCCCGGCAGACTGACAGCAGCCGGGCCGCCCTCCCCGCGACGTCACTTCCGGCGGCGGCCCCCACCCCCTTGCGCTCAGTCCCTGGAGTTGCCTCGGACTCCGCCCCCTGGCGATTGGAACGCGGGTCACGTAGCAACGCGGGCAGAAAGGGAGAGGGGCGTGGTCCGGCGCTCGCCCAATCAGCGCGCGGGGGAGCAGGGCCCCCCCCCAGTCCGCTAGGCTTTAGCAACGTCGTTAGCAACACGTGGGGCGGGAGGAAGCGCTGGGCGGCCGGGGAGGGGGGAGCGGAGAGCAGGCGGGAGGCGGGGAGGGAGCGAGCGCGCAGGAGGGGGAGGAGAACTGACGTCAGCGGGAGAGTATTATGGTCTGTCGTGCGCTGGCTGCTGCTTTTCTGCTCCTGGAAGCAGCCAAGGGGGGAAGCGGCGAGTCAACATGGAGCTTTCAGCGGTTGGGGAGCGGGTGTTCGCGGCCGAAGCCCTACTGAAACGGCGCATACGGAAAGTAGGTGCCCCTGGGCCTGGGGCCGAGGCCGGCGAGCCCTCCCCTCCCGGCCCAGGTTCCCTCCCCCTGCTGCAGCCCAGCTTCCCTTCCCCCAGGTCCCAGCAGCGGCCGCGGCCGTGGCGGCGGCGGCGGCGGCGGCGGCTCTGAGCCCAAGCGCTTTCCTTAGACTTGCAGCGATGCACAGATTGCATGAGTGGGGGGCGGGGTGGGGGTGAATGCCGGTGCATGCACTTTGTGCAGCGTTTCGTGCAGGGGGCGATGCGGTGGACTCGTGCCTTTCGCGACAGGATTTCACGCATTCATTTGGTGCATGCATTTTTTTGCATGTATTTCTTGTGTCCTCGTCATGCATTTCTCCCGTGCACACACACATTTCCCCCTTTGCATCCACAGGGACGCATGGAATACCTCGTGAAATGGAAGGGCTGGTCGCAGAAGTAAGTAGGTTATATGCAGTGCTCAAGCCCAGACTGTTATTCGGGAGGTTTCTTTCTTCCTCTTTTTTCCCTTTATGTCGAAATACAATACAATGCCAGGAGAAAAGTTATAGACAGACACACACCCACTGCTCTTTCCCTGTCCCCGGGACTGACGCCCCTTCTTCCTGATTCCCTCCAGGTACAGCACATGGGAGCCGGAAGAAAACATCCTGGATGCTCGCCTGCTCGCAGCCTTTGAGGAAAGGTACAGGCCCGTCCAAGCCTCCGCTTCTCCCTTAGGAACAAGGAGGCGGCTTCTCTCCAGCCTGGACCGCAGTCCCATGCTGTCTCCTTACTCACACAAGCCTTTCCCACCTCCTTTCTCCAGGGAACGAGAGATGGAGCTCTATGGCCCCAAAAAGCGAGGACCCAAACCCAAAACCTTCCTCCTCAAGGTAGGATGGCCTTGTCCAGTGGTGGACAGCGATGTTGACCCTGCGGGCTGGTGAACCAATGGGGTGCCCACACACTTTGTCTATTTGTAATCTAGGAGGGAATCCCCAGACAGGCCGTGGACCAGGTCAGTGGCTGTGCAAAGGGGTGTCTTGCGGGGGAGGGCCTTAGCCACCCTAGAATTCCTGCCCCCCAGCCATCCTCAAATAGAGAGACAGTAAATACAGAGGTGTGCTTGCGGCGAATGGCTGATCCCAGATGACTCCCTACCCTTCCCCCCTAGAACTGCCTCCCCTAAGCCCCACCCCCCACCC